ATTTTCTAGGAGAATATATTTGTCTTCTAAACAATCAGAACATTAGTCTCCACACTATCCAATGGACTGGGGAGATTATTTGGTTGATTACTCTCCACATAGGAGCTCTGGTAGCATAGTGGCTAAATCACTTGACTGCTAACCAGAAGGCTGGCGGTTCAAACCCACCAGCCACTCCTTGGAAGGAAGGTTGGGCAATCCTATTTCCGTAGTGATACTGCCTCGGAAACCCAAGGAGGGGTCGCTATGAGTCGGGGCTGACTCGATGGCACATAACAACAACAACAACAGCTCTCCACATACTACTAAGACACCTGATGCCTCCCCAAGAGGTTTCCCAGAAAACATTTTGCAGACACAGGAAGGACCAATACAATCAGGATTATGGTGACTGTTTGCCACAGCTGGATCGGTATATCATTCCGCATACATTGGAGGAACAACTGGAGTAGAAAGTCCTGGCAATCGCACCAACATTCAAGCGTGTGTTCGACCTCCGAACGCTCTTATGCTAGTGCATAAATATAATGATTGTGCCACAAATACTAACATTAAGTTGTTTAAATATTTTTGAGACCAATGATGTCTTAGGAAATTATTATTGGAATGCGACTTGTAGTAATTGTTTGTTAACTCAGTGCCTAACCTCAACAGATCACTATGTATTAATAGTAACACAACCACATTATAGAACCCTACCAGTTAATATTTCAGATGGATGATTTCATTCAACAGAACATTCACTGTACTTAGTGCATCAAGGGCTTAGTAGATCTAAACATTTTATTGGGCTTATGATTGCAGGCATAACTGCTCTTACTACAAGGATAGCTACTATGACAGTGGCTGCTGTTGCACTACAATCATCTATTCAGACAGCCCAACACTGTAAAAGCATTAGTAGATCAAGAAATAATTGATCAGGATTTTAAACTTAAAGTAGGCATGTTAGAGGAAATGGTATTATCAATAGGAGATGAGTTAAAGGTGATATGAATAAGGCAACCATTACATTGTGACTATCGGTATGAACACATACGTATAACATCATACCTTGTGAATTTCAGTGATCCTGAATTCACATGGGAAAAAATCAAAATAAAAATATTAGGAGTTTGGCATAGTTCAAATATTAGTCTTGAAATACAGGAATTCCATAACGATATTCAAAGGATAAAAGACAGTCATGTACCAATAATAGATTCAAATCAAGTTGCAAATTCTATACTTGATGAATTTAAAAATCTTAACCCTTTTAAAAGCATTCCTACATTTTTATACCTTTTTTTGCCATATGTAATAATGTTTCTAATTATATTATTTGTTATTCTACCATTTTTTTGCCATATGTAATGATGTTTCTAATTATATTATTTGTTATTCTTTGGGTCCTGAGATTAATTCGATGTTTAATTCAATAGTTAACTACTGAAGTACATTTACTTCATTTAAAAAATAAAAAGGGAGGAAAGTTGGAGACCAAGAAAAAGACCATCAGAAGGACATGATTGCAAGGCACATGTTTTAACAACAGCTGAAAGAAGGCAAGGTTGAATGTTTGTTTGGCTCAAACTCTGTGTGCTTACGGCAAAAACATTGTTCCAGCAAAATAGGTTGGTAAACATTGTTCCAGTAAAGAATGTTCATTATCTTGATGGAACACTTCAAACCTAAGAATAGTAGACCTTAGTAATCATATTATACTTTAGAATAATGTATCCTAGTAATTATCTTATACCTTAGAATCATGTACCTTAACAATCACATTATGTCTTCGAATGATACACTGTAGTGATTATTTACTTTTTTTATAAGAAATGTTAACCCAACTAATCATCTATTGTTTTCAGGCATGGGAAAAGACCTCTGTGTACGGGGAAAAGTTAAATTTTAACCTTTTAGATAAGACTTGATTGGATTGTAGAAAATACCTGATTGAATACTTGATTGTATTAAGAAAATACCAAGAACAATGATGAAATCATGTGCTTATGTATAAATAAATCAGGATGGATGCATCAGGGATCGCTCTTGCATCATACGCAGAGTGTCTGCCTGGCCCCCATTCCTCTTAAACCTTTAATCCTTTCGTGTTGCTTTGTTTCATGACCTGTGTTGTTTTGCCAGACATGGCAATTAATATTTAATAATTAATTCAGTCCTTCAATTGCTGCTCTACTATGGCTAGGATACAGGTTCAATGACTGGAGCATGGCTCCAGTCTGCAAGAAACTGGTAGCCTATCAGGCAAGAGATCTGCATGTAATACCAGTCAGATTCTAATACTTCCAATAAAAAAATCATTGCCATTGAGTTGATTCCAACTCATAGTGACACCCAACCCCCCATTGGCTTTCCAAGGCTGAAAAGCTTTACAGAAGCAGACCATCTCATCTTTCTTCCATGGAGCAACTTGTGGGTTTGAACCACTGACCTCTTGATTAGTAGCCAAATGCCCTAACCACTACACCACTACTCACTGCCATCGAGTCGGATCCAACTCATAGCGACCTCTCCTTGGGTGTCCGAGGCAGTATCACTACGGAAATAGATTGTCCAATCTTCCTTCTGAGGAGTGGCTGGTGGGTTTGAATCACCAGCCTTCTGGCTAGCAGTCAAGTGCCTTAGGCACTGTGCCACCAGAGCTCCACTAGAGCTCCTTAATATTTCTAATATTCCCTATATTCCACACCCCATATGACAAGGGCCATTTCCATGGTGACCTATTTAGTTCCACAGATCACCTTAGCAAATTCCAAAAGGAAGTACCCTAGGAGGGTAAGAGCAGCTTTAGGGTAATCAACTGGTTACCTTATTTCTAAGACCTAAATGAGCCCCCAAGTGTTTACCCAGGGCTGTGGAACCTGAGTTTTACACCACGAGGTTTACAAATCACCTTAGAAATCAACTATGAAACCTGGCCAGGCAAACCCTATTTGACACTCCTTCATTCTGGCACTGTAAGGTCTTACTCGCTCTACATCCCATCAAACCTCCAATTACCAGCAACATCTAACAAAACACACTTCAGAAGATGAAGGTATGAGTCACTTAAAGTCCACAATGTGGTCTGTGAAATAGGACATTGTGCGATTTGGATGTTGTATGAACACCATATTACATATAGGAGAGAGGTGTGTAGGGTGGTCACCAGGCAGGCCTGGCACCTCAGCCTTGCCAAAGGACTGCATGAAAACTTTAGCTCCACTGCCACTGGTCCTATATAGTCACTGCCTAGTCCCTGCCCATATACTGTAGCATATACCTGCTATCCAACTGGCTGTCTCCTAGCCCACTGCCACCAGCTCCCTCCCCTTCCTTCCTCCATATCTGCCTCTCACTCCTTCAATGGGCGTTAAATTCTTCCAGCCTGGCCTACTCCTCCTTTGCCTCCACCTGCTGCCCTGGCCACCTTTCCTGCCCCTCTTCCTGCCACCATCAATGTAGCCAGGAGGTTGTCACCATAGGAAGAGCCATGGACTTGGGCCTTGACATTATACAAAGGGCACTGGGGCCAAATGGGGCAGTGGCCCCAGCAGGGCATCCTCCTTGGTGGCTCCATGGTGTCTGCACAGTCCCTGCCTGAGGTAAGCATCATCGGACAGGCAACCCCTGCCAGCCCAGGGCCAGTCAGACACAGGACTTGGAGAGCTAGTGAGAGACCGATGATAATTCCCCTACTTAGCTAAGTACTTCCACTATGTTCCATTCTCCCATCAGAATTTGTGAACTCTATTATAACCTGAGACCATGACATATAGGCAAATGGACGTTGCTCTAATGGATGTTAAGTGATGCATATCTGTACAAAGGACAGAATCACAGTAAGAAATATCAGTCACATTTGTTTGAAATGTGGGATTCGAGGCAAAGGATCTCTATGAATGGCTAGAGTCTAGAGCAACTGAAAGAAGCCCTGGTCAGTGGTTCAAACTTACCAGCCACTCCACGGGAGAAAGATGTAGCAGTCTGCTTCTATAAAGATTTACAGCCTTGGAAACCCTATGGGGCAGTTCTACTCTGTCCTACAGGATCACTATGAGTTGAAATTGACTCTATGGCAATGGGTGTAGTTTTTTTTTGGATTTAGAGCACTTCAGTTTCTGGCCATCATCTTCTAAACTGCCACTCCTCACCTGGTTCACACGGTGGAGTTCAACATTTCCCTGCCCCCTCCCCAACTGCCCACTGGAGTCACATTATGCTCTCCACTGCTCCCTTCCACAGGATCTACAAGTGGGTTTCACAAAGCACTTTCATGTGTACTTTGGAATTTGCTCATCAAAACAATCCCCTCAGGTAAAGGTTGGTATAACTGGCATTTAGTCCTCAGAGATTAAATTACGTCTAAGTAAGCTGGAACACTAACCCTAACCCTCTCTTCTCTAACTCAACACTCTTGCCATATAAGGGTAACTGTTTTTAATTGTTCTCAAATTACAGGTCTTACCATTACCTTGTAAAAGCATCCTTGAGCAATCCCATGCTTTGAGGAGTAATAATTAGTTCATTTCTGGTGGTCTAATACTCTTGCCAAGTTAAATTCTTTCCATGTACCCATACAATTCTTTTCTGTTCTGGTTGGTCCTAGACTAATTGCACAACACCTTAATAGCCCCACAACCTCCAATTTACATAGATTTAATCAAAGGTGAAAACTGATGTGTATAATACAAATTACAGACCTGATGTTAAATCTAAAACTGGCTGTAATGGCTGAATCAGAACATTCACATTTAAATACCTTAGAATAAATTTTTATACTTTCTATGGAAAATATGTAGGAGGATGAGATAATGACAATAAAATTATCACCTCTAATATGATATTCATTTAAGTAAGCAGGGTGGAAAAAAGAGAAAATATTTTTTGCCTTTGGATTGCTTTCTCTAAATATGTCAGATTCTATGTGGTAATTATACTTTTCATTTAACCAATTCTAATAAAAGTGATTCCTCTTATTCATGTGAAGATATCAGCTTCCTGTCTATAAAACCTACCTTTCTAATCTGGCCTCCTGGGGAGGTGAAAGAGATGACGCGGGGTTGGTGGGCACACTGGTACCAGATGAAGGTCTTGAGGAGTGGTAGGAGTTGTTGCCAAAGTTGGTGTATCTAAAGAGTTTAAGTTTGGAGGAAGAAGACAAAGACATGAATACAAGTTAATAAATGAATAAGATTTATCAAACCATCTTAATTTTTATAAGAAAAAAAAACCAGGTCTAGAAATGTTAACACTTAGGGATTATTCTCAAAGAGATTTTCTTACTGTTTTGTTTTGATAATTTCTTATTAGAGAAATTTTCCAATGTTTCCAACTATCAGACTAAAGGATTTATGATAAAGGGCTTAAACAAAACCTCACATTACCTGTCTTTTAAATGTGTGTTATAACTATTTGCTGACATTAATTAAGAATCCAAATTATTTTCATTTGAATCATGAAGATTTTTCTTGCCTCTCATGGTGCCACAATTAGTTCTTATTCCATAAAAGTCTGTAAACAAAGGACTGATTAAAGAATCATCTTTTCTTCCCAAATGCAGCTTTAGGTATTTCACAATCAATTTGAATCATTAAATACAACCCCATTGTGTATGCTCTGTGATCAATGAGAGTAAGGCCTTCCAGACTGGCCTAGTTTTTAGTGGTTCAAGTATTTATGTTTTCAACCAATATTTCCCCTGAACCAAAACTGCAGCCACTAAGTATCAATGAAGGAGGCCCTGGTAGCACAATGGTTAAGTACTTGGCTGCTAATCAAAAGGTGAACGGTTCAAACCCGCCAGCCACTCTGAGGGAGAAAGATGTGACAGTCTGCTTCATAAACATTACGGCCCTGGAAACCCTGTGGGGTGGTTCTACTCTGTTCTATGGGACTGCTAGGAGTTGGAATTGATTTGATGGCAATAGGAAGTTTCAATGAGTTTTTATTGTTCCCAATCATCTCTAACTAACCAGTTATAAAACTCTAGAATGGTGGGGTGTTTTTTTTTTTTTTTTTTTCTGTTCTTCCAAATAGATGTCCCTTACCATTTTCTATTTAACTATCATCATCTAATTTATTCCTGGAAAATAAATTATTTGACACCTTTGCATGGGGATGGAAACTCAGGATTAGTTACAAATAAGATTCAGAGAGCCCTGCCTCTCAATCTACTCAGACACAGAACAGGGCTGAAGCCTTCCCCTGAACTGGTTATGGACATAGTATTGGATGTGTGGGAGCTCAAAGGTCACTATGATGTCTGTGCACAAAGACCTTCTTGCACACAATGAATCCAGTCTAAATACCCATCAACAGTGGGGAGCTAAAAATCATAAACTTTGAAAAGCAATCTGTCTTCAAAATGAGGATATCCTTTGACAGAATAAGTCCACATTGGGGAATTAACTGGAGCAGTATTTAGATCATGGTGAGAAACTGGAAACTATCAAACCAAGTAATAATGCAAGAATAGCAGAGAAAATATGATGCATTATTCACTCAATAGGATATTATGCAATCATTAGAATGATTACTGGGAGCTCTGGTAGCATAGTGGCTACGGCACTTGACTGCTAACCAGAAGGCTGACGGTTCAAATCCACCAGCCACTCCTCAGAAGGAAGATGGGGCAATCTACTTCCGTAGTGATACTGCCTTGGAAACCCAAGGAGGGGTTGCTATGAGTCGGGTCCGACTCGACAGCAAACAACAACAACAACAACAGAATGATTAATGATTTTTGGAAGTGAAAATATGGAAACTGTTTATATTTCAGACAGACTGAAAAAAATGAGGATATAATATTATCCACAGAGTTTGACTATAACTCTGAAAATATTTTCAAAGGTCAAAAACTATTTGTAGGATAAGATATAAAAAATAGACCATCTTATTAAAAAGCAGAATTCAGTTCTCTGTAATAAAGTACATCACTATAATGGAAAATAAAATATTTAAATTACCCCAAATCTATCCTGCATTGCTATCTCTGGTTGGCTTGGCTGCTGCCCTCCTTATTTGTTTATTTGGTAACGTATACCAAGCCTCTGCTCAGTACCAGGCACTATGCCAGGCAGATGGAGACTCAGCCCATACAATTTCATCCCTATCATCCTTCTCTGCTAAAACACCACCTTTGTGGGACTTGGTTTCTGGCCATTCTTTTTCACTTTTCTTTAAAAACCTACACTCCACAGGCCAAACACATTGATTACTTTTCCCTCCAAGTGAGTGTTAGTTTGATGCTTGAAGAGGGCCCCCAAAGCACAGGCTACAGAGAAGGTAGAAAAGCAAAGGATGAAAGGGACATACAAAAAGGGAGTAGAAAAAGAGGGAAAGAGAAACAGGACAGCAAGCACTGAGATTGGGAAGGGGATAGGCTGCCATCCATGGCCTCCAGAGGCTTCTTGTCCAGACAAGGACCTAATGTCAGCCCCTCTGCCCAGGCTTCAGCCCTGCCCCACCCCACTGCTGCATCTCTCTGCTTGTTGCTCTAGTCAAACATCTAAAACAATCCCCTTCCAAACCAAAGTGGACATCCTGCAAAATGTTTTAACAGGATTACTTTGCTAAAATTCTGTTTAAATGACGTTACAAAATTAAAACAAGCATAATGTGTTTTTCTCTCATTTGGTTTTCCTAATGGCTAAGCAATTAGTTCAAATGTCTCATAGTCTGTCCAATTTTCATTCTCAATTTCAGTCAAACTAACTGGATCATACAATTTACTGTTCAGGTTTTTTTGTTTTGTTCTTTCTAATGACTAACTGGTTGGGCTCTATTATAAATGTATTCAAGTACTGTCAACCACTGAGTAATCAAATCTATGGCTACATGAACCCATGAAAACCACAGCAAGTGGACACCAGGAAATTTAACAGGTACAGATAATATTTGTACAGTATTCAAATTCCTGCTAGAAAAATTACATAAAAATTTTAAACTTTGCTCAGTTAAATCTAAGTCAATACTCTTTTGCAAGCATGCAGTAGTTTTTCTCAATTAACATTTAGACCATTTCGAGGCGTCTGTGACTTCCACCCCTGTGGACTATAAGTAGTAGTGAAGCTTGGAAACCAAGTCAGGGGAACCTGGGCCCAAGAAAGCCCCATCAGAGGCTGTGAGATCATTATCAGTAATCCCAGGATAACCATCATGGGCAAATACCACCGTGCTGGGAAAGAGGAGGTTGCCAGGATATTTTTATTCTATTCAAGTGGGCAGCTCCTAACACGCACATAGATATTGTTCTTGGGGGACATAAAAATTATGTTGAATGTGTTCTGTGAGAATCAAGTGAAAGTCACAATAGTACCAGAATTTTAGTCCTGAAAGAAGTCCATAGAGAACTTCTAGTTTACAAGTGTTCCAACTGGAGTTCACCCATCCTGAATGAGCACACAGCCATTTTGGTAACAAGAGGAAACTGATTTTCAGATCTTCAAGTTCCATAATGGCTATGGCCACTCCTGGGGTCTTCCAGTTCTCTTGTCCTGCTTCCCATCCCTCAACTGCCTTCATTTCATTTTTAGGAGAGAAAAAGAAGAGTCTCAACTGGGCTGAATGTGTGTGGGGCACTGCCTTCAAACGTAAAAACCTCCAGGGTAAGAAGCAAAGAAAGAAAATAGGAAAACAGCACAAAGAGAATTCCATAAGAAACACTGAGGAGGGAGAAGGTGGTTTTTATCCAGGGACAAATTCAGTATAAAGACTCCTGCCTTATTTCTAGCTGCCCATCTACTCTGCTTCACCGTTTAGTTTGGCCAAAGTGAGTCAGATCCCGGAAGTAAGTTGTTTCTCTCCGGGACATATATTAGCTTGCTTGTTTGAACTGAAACATGAAGTCAGACTTTTTTTTTCTAACAGGAATTAGGTTTCATTTGACTGAGGACTGGCTTTGCCAACTAGGTATATGTAGATGTTAATTTGTTAAATCTGAAGTTCCAAGGTTTTGACAAAATAAATTTAAAAGACATGAATAATAATAATAATAATAAAAACCCTCCAAAACCAAACCCACTGCCACTGAGTTAATTCCAACTCATAGTGACTCTACAGGACAGAGGAGAACTGCCCCAAAGGGTTTCCAAGACTGTAAACCTTACCAGAAGCAGACTGCCTCATCTTTCTTCTACAGAGCAGTTGGAGGGTTTGAACTGCTGATCTTTTGGTTATTAGCCAAATAGTTTAACCACCACACCACCAGAGCTCCTTAAGTACATATACCATATACAAATTATATCCTTTGCAACTATTCAAACTTATGACACTTAAGACTGTCTACTAAAACTTTGAAGGAAATTTATTTTTATTTTATTATGATTTAAGTGAAAGTTTACAGAGTAAACTGATTTTCCAGGCAACAATCTATACACATTTGTTTTGTGACATTCATTGCAATCACAACTTAACAGCACTCTTCCCACTTCCTCCCTGTGTTTACCACTTCCCTTTGTCCTTCTTTCCTAACCCTTCCTGTCTTATAAGCTTTATCCCTGGGCAAATGCCACCTTTTTGAGCTCTTATGGTTGATTGCTCTAAAGAGTGCATACTGATGGAGACCAAAGATGGCAGAATAGGTAGAAAGACTTCACAGACCCTCTTCAACAAAGAAAAGGGGAGCCAATTAACACAGACACAGAAGATAATCTTGAACCCCTGGGACTTGAAGGGAGGTATACAGAAGTGGACTAAACCCCAACTAGCAGAAAAATTTGCATGAAAATACCAAAAAAGGAGACATATGGAGCTGCAGTTTGTAGCGATCCTGAGAGATCCTGAGGGCACAGACAACTTGGAGATTCCTGAGTGGTGGTAGGACCAAACAATTAACCTATAAATCAACCCTGCTAGCAAGGGACTGCACGGAGGACTGTTCTGGTGGCTGGGGAATAAAAGTCGAATCAGTGGGGAAGAGGAAGGCAGGCTGAGCTGTGGACTTTTGCCTGTCCAGAGAGCACCCCCATTTTGAATGTTTACAAGCAGCTTGACCATTTTAAATACTTAAAGAGACAGCACTCTCCCAGATTCCAAGGGCTTAAGAACAGGTTCTGCTTGTCAGCAACCCCAAGGACACTCCAGACCTGCACAAGTGAAAAGGTATGACATTCCTCTTGTTACTCTTATA